TGGCAGATTAATAAGGACTCCTGGGCAACTAGCAGACCGGTGTGCAAGCAAGATGGATACCGATATTGGTGGTATACATATTCATCATCCAGCTGTACAGGATGCTGTGTGAGCTGACTGCTGATCAGTCAGCACTTATCGACTGATCCTGGCTGCAGGTGTCTGAGCTGCAGTAGACAGTAAGACACGGGGAGCAGGGTTGACAGCATTGATTGGATCTAATTGGTGCTTCAGCCAGGGTGCCGGGTGTCACTAGATTAGCAGATCAGATTCATCAGCGCTGTTACTGGAAAACACTGGAAACACGTTCTCTCTCACTCTCTGCTGTGTGTATCAAACAAACACTTGATGACAGTGTATTGACTTACATTAACTTTATACAGGCATAGCCATAACCAGCACATGACAAATACATCCATCACACTGACCTCAATCTATTCCCACCCTCAACAGAAAACCTCTTAACCCATAAATAAATGGTTAAACTTAATGTACAACAAATAGTTTTTAACTGGTTATGAAACAGTCAGTTTAATACTACTGCCTCAATTTGAGCAGAGCAGTGTGGCTGTCAGTAGACTGTACAGTAGAGCAGAGGAAGGGCAGAGTGTTGAGTAGTGAGTGAGAGATGCTTTGCTGAAGCATGCTTGTTGGGGCTTTAACATAGAGGATAATACTTAAAGACCCATAATGTAACTTTTCCCTTAAAAATAACAGCTTCAAATTCATTTGATACTGCACTAAGTTGGGTAAATGGTGCCTGTACTGCCCTTTCAGCGTGTATTCTTGTGCAAAGCTAGACAGCCAGTTAACACTCAAAAGTCCTCCAATAAACACACCAGGCTGACTTTTCTTGTATTTTACTGAAGTGTTATTTCCACTCTCGGATTTGCTTTTGTTTTGTAAAACTGAAACATTACAGAGAAAAAAAGAACAAAATCATACATAAGGGTGTAAATTCACATTACCACTAAAGCTTAAAGCGGCACTGTACTGTGTAGAAAATACAGCTCACTATAACAGCTAATTGACAAAGTCAATCACTGAACAGAGCTAGCTACTGTTGTATGCTAGCTAGCAGAGCACATGGTCTACTGAAACAATAAACAAGTTGCTAACATGACATTCCTAAATAAAAGACGTGTGTTCTCATAGTTTACACATATTACTTGCAGATGAATAGTTTCCAAGGCAGAAGTGTGTCAGCATTACATTCAGCAGCAACATTTACCCAGCACTGTCTGTGCTCAACTGATGAATGTCCTTAACTGCAGAATTAGCTGTGGCCAGCAGAGGGCAGTGCACTCTGCACAGAACTAATGCAAATAAATGAAATGTTTTAAATGTTTTACTTTATTAAACTCACTTTTTTTTTTTTACTACTTTTATAACTTTATTACTAAATTAACTTTAAAGGCAGCACAGTGCCTCTGTCATTCTTAGGGGCTGATCACACAGAGACACAGTGCTAGAAACGCACCGCCTGCAAAACCGTTTCCTTTGGTACAGTGCACCTGGCGTGCACTACTCTTTTGTGTCACGGTTTTCTTGCATGCATAAATGTGAAAATACTTCTCAATTTTTCAGATCAAAGCATGGAGTCATGGTGCTTATCAAATGTTTCCTGACACTTTTTGCCAAGGTGTTTGAACTCACGCCTGTAGCGGTACATCTGTCTATTCTGTCCACTGGACATGGCTGAGTTGTGTCACAGCTGTGTCACATATTTTAATGTCCACTGAGAGCAGGAACAGGCAGAAAGAAAGAAAAAATAGTGCTGGAAGCTAATGTCTTCCTCCATCATTTTCTGTTATACAGTAGAACTTGCCTTCTCACTAAATCCTTGGTTGTCACTGCCATGAGCTTTAACATTTGAGTGCCATGCTGTTATTCTTCTGTTTTATACATTGGGTTAGCCACATAGGGATTCATTATTGGTTGAAGAATACTAAGAGATTTAATTCATACTTTGCACGTGAC